ATCATTTTTTATGCTCTTTCCAACGCCGTGCTGATTGTTTCTCTATGACATGTAGTTATTGCTGTACAGAAAACCTACCTGTGCCGGCCTACCGGTGCTCAAATCTAGTTGTGTATTCTTGTGAATACATATAAACAAAATCCATAGTTGAGGTTTAAAAATCTTTTTGATATCTTTATTGGTTTCCGAGTAGAATGTATTTTAGATATTAATTTTACCTGACAGATATTATGAAAACCCCTTATATTTTTTACTTTATTTTTTGCTAAATTTGGATAAATTTAATGTTATTTTTAATTAACTTAATGTAGTATACAATTATTATTACAAAATATACAATTAAAGTACCAAAAATATAATAACCAAGGTAATTTATACCATTGGTTTGTTTAATTTGCAATATATTTTTATATTACAGCTTGAATATGATTCCAAAAAATTTTTAATTTTATTATATTTTTTTATAAAATTATTAATATTTAAATATATTACGAATATTTTTAAATATCGATAATACAATTAAAAATATTTTCTTTAATTTATGCATGTTTTAATAAAAAGTTATAAATAAATAATTAATTTAATTATATCAATATTATTATACTGTACATATGATAATTATATGAAATTTTTATACAGACTGTAATATAAAAGTTTATTGCAAATCCAACAAACCAATAATATAAATTACCTTTAAATTACCTTGGTTATTATATTTTTGGTACTTTAATTGTATATTTTGTAATAATAATTGTATACTACATTAAGTTAATTAAAAATAACATTAGATTTATCCAAATTTAGCAAAAAATAAAACAAAAAATAATTGAACTGAAAGTGGATTAGAACCTGGGTACAAAATGTTAAGTGTGCGACACATTACCAATGGGCCACTGAAATTCTTTTAATATTTCCTGATTAACGTTAGTATCCAATAAAAATTAAATAGCCAAATGGTTTTTAGGGTTTTCGGTGACCAGGAGCAATCAGATTTTTATATTCTTGTGCAAAATGTTATTTATTCGTGCCAATTCACCTAGCAATACTAATCTGGTATTTGCAAAATGGCGAACATCCATTTATTAGTAATACATTGGTATTCACATGTAATACTCTGTATTCAATTTCAATAGAAATTAGTAATTTTTAATACAGTCTGCCCCCGAAATAAGGTAACTCGGTATAAGGTAAACCCCGTGATAAGGTGCATTAGTTTACTGCACCGGCAGCTTATTACTGTATTAGTTCCGTATAATGTTTATCCCGAGATAAGGTAGACCCCGAGATAAGGTAATGTTTTNCCGTGATAAGGTGCATTAGTTTACTGCACCGGCAGCTTATTACTGTATTAGTTCCGTATAATGTTTATCCCGAGATAAGGTAGACCCCGAGATAAGGTAATGTTTTCTCATGCACCGATGAAAACCTTATCTCGGGGTCAGACTGTATACTTTAATGTGTTATATTTCAATAATATTCAAACGTTCCAGAAAGACTACCTAATGTGTATTTCAGGGAAGTGTCCTTTCGATAGTAACACTTTGAAAACGGGTCAGTGGTCTAATAGAGTGTAAAATGGTCAGTGGTTTAATTAGATATATGTTTAACATTAAAAATAAATTTATATTAGTATTTAATTAGATATGTTGCATACGCTTAATAATAATATCATTGAGTATTCAGATAAGAAGAATTAGAAATTTAATGATTAAATTAAATACTGTATTTAATATTTGAAACAAGGATATATGATAAAAATATAATTTGTTGAGTAAATTTATTTAAATATCAGTCACGTAAAACGTTTTTATTAGGAATTTTGTAAAATATAATCGATTTTGGCACATAATAAATGTCATCAATTTTTTTCTCGCAATGAATATGAGTGAATTGATGGCGTTTATGATGTGCCAAAATCGATTATATTGACCATGTATCATCTGAAAAATCTGATGATTCAAGAAATATTTGAAATGTTTGGAATTGAGTTTAAAGATGACACATTTGATAGACTCCTGATTTTATTATACATTAAAGTACTTATTGTTTCATATTCAATATATTAGACAGTATTTACTTTATATTGTGCGCACAAATTAATGATATATTTTAAAATAACATAGCTTAATGATATATTCATTTAAGTTAACATAATATGTATATTATACAGTATATTATACTTATTTAAACTAATTCTGTACGCAATTAATAATAAATATTTTAATATATTTTATATTCTTATTAAAAGATGATTCATTTAAAAATTACACCATATTTCAAATTCAACATATTATTTAATAGCAAAAATTTTAGTTTATATTTATGTGTAATTTACGATTCATATCTGTTGCTTAATAATATTAAATATTAAAATAATATCATTGTAATATAAGATTACATTAATGTTGAATAGCATACTATTTATTATTGTAATAATAATATTATCAAAACATTTAAAATCACTTTTTAGCATGACTCCCTCCCCCCTAGGTGTGCGCAAGTACTTTGCGGATCGCGCCTAACACTGTTACCTAGAGTAAACTATTTTCTTAAAAAACTATATTAAGTATATATAGTTAAATATTAAACCGTACTATTAAATATTTTATGTAAATAATATATATATTTTTATATTAATTTAATCGATATTTTACGCTCTAGTATAATTACGTAATAACTATAAGTAGTAACCTGAATTGTATACCATTTTATAAACTTATTCTTGTTTAGTAATTTAATAAAAATCATATTTGAATACAAAACAATAAAAATCGGAATTCTTTATTTTAGTTAAAAAGTTATTTTCCAATCAAAACACTATTTATTGTAATAATATATTTTTATATTTCATTTAAATCTAAGGTTTAAATTCAAATATTATACTAAATGTCTGTTTCAATGCATTTAACAATTGAGTACATATTATATTAATTTTCAATTAACTATTAGTTTTATGTAATAATAATATCAAAAACAATTACATTATATTAGATCTCAACTAATATTATATGTTTGAAAACGCCTTTACATATGATATCATACATAAAAACAGTCCGTATTTTGTGTCCATATATTCATAGCCTAATCATCAACCGATAAGTCAAACCTTATTATAAATTATAATACAATAGAAAAAACTGTTAATTAAAGTACAAATTAATAGCAATGAGTGTAATAATTAAAAAGTTTGACAAAAAATGAGAATTTTCTTATAATGTATTGTTTGAGTGATTTTTAGCGATTGTTTTCTCAAATGATTAGAGAAAAAGTCAATGAATTTCATGGAAACTGATGTGAAAAAAGTGATGACAAATGCAGACAATGTTTGTGTCCAAACACTTTGCGTACAAAAAAATACATATCATTTTGATTGAGACGCCGAGACATACAGTTGTAATGATAATTGAGACACAAATGGTGTCTAAAAACATAGCAAAACAAACACAAAAATTACAGCAAATTTGGTTGTCTTTTGTCAAAAGTCTTACAAAACATTTCTTATGTATAAAAAAAACTTTAAATAAAATACAAGTCGTTTTTGTCAACACAAATGAGTCCGAAAATCAAAGTCAAAAACCTACAAAACCTTAACTACTAAACCGTAAAACCAAACACACGTTTGATTTTCACTTAATTATAGCACCAAAAAAACAAACTAAAAATAAATTAAAACACAAAAAACGGCTATAAATGTGTCATTAAATTAAGTGAACAAAAACTTTTCTTATATTAAATTAAATCTAAAAAACAATTAATTAATTGAATCCTAAGTCTCGGGCGACATAACACACACACACTCCTAACCCTATGCTCCCACGTATGATATGATGAGTCGCTTGAGAGCACCGGTAGTCCGTACAACCAAACTAAACAACTGATTACGAGAGACCCCTATCGTGTGCGTCGTCAGCGCCGGTACCGTCGGGTGCGCTCATCGGTGTCGTGACGGACACGGAGTAGAACTGATTCAACGACTCCCTGTCCGGATCGGTAGCCGCGACGTCGGCCGCTGAGGAGCTGTTATTCTTGCGATTGCGGCGAAACACCGCCTGCAGTGGTGGCGACGACTGTCCCCCACCGCCTCCCAGCCCGTCCTCAACCGACTGTCCACCGGACGGGTCCGTCGTCTCCGGACTGGTACGTCGCTGCTGTGGTCCGCAACACGTCTGTGCGGCGCAGTTAGTCTCCGGCGGGCAGTCCAGGTAACAGCTGTTGCTATTCGCGTACTGCCGGCGCTGATACTCAGCCCCTCCACCAACACCACCACCACCGCCAATGCCCGGGTAGTCGTCACCGGTGTCGTAGTCGTGGCCCACGAGCTGCCCGACCGTACGGCGCGGGTCGACCGCCGGCTCCACGAACTCGGGCTGTATTGTCGTCGAGTGGATGCCCTCGTTGTGGAAGAACTCCTTCACCTTTTCGGCGATTTGCATGTAATCGATGAGATTGCGGCACCGGATGTGCGCCGAGGCTATGATACGGTCGCCGGCCAACTGCCACACGTGGAACTCGTGCACAGCCAGCACGCCATCGATCTGCCGGTGCGATAGAGACACAAATCAATTTCACAAATAATATTCAAATACATTGTATAAAAAGTCATAAAAATAGCTATTTTACTACATATACGGACACGCACTGAATGAATGGTTTGTAAATAAAAGTAAAAATCAAATATATTTTGTGTTTAAAATACTGTTTGCTTTTATATTTGACTATTGAATGGCAAAAACACAGACTCTTTAATCATTTAATGAAATCGAGATTCAAGTGAATGACAAAAATAATAATAAATTAATTTAAAACCTATTTTTAGGACTGGTATTGAAAATGACAACAATTACTGAATTTCTGTCCCTGCTGGTGTGACCGTGCGGCTATATACATGTCTATAAGATTACAATATAATATAATGTTCATTATGTCCCGGTACAATACAACATACCATTCCCTTACAAAACTTTTATACTGTATATAATTTAATTTGTTAATTAACTAAAATTCATTTGAATTTTTAAATAAATCTTAAGACCATTTTGTGAGTGAGATTTACGTGTTTTAAAATTTTTAAACAAAATACTGTATTTTCCCGACACATCCCTGTCCTTGAAGTCAAAATCGCTTTTATTTTATTTTTCTTATTTTGGTTACGAATCGAAAGTGAATTTCAATTTCTAAACTACCAGTGCTTTAGTAGCGAAAGAGACTCTGGAAATGGAAAGCCTACTCAAAATTGGTTTTATCAAATATGTGCACAAACTGTGGCGATAGGGATAATGGGATTGAGCACATGTAGTGATTATTTTCAACTCTCTCTCTCTCTCTCTCTTAATATCACATTTGTTTTCATCATTGATAGGGCGGGGAACTGGTGGGCGATGAGAGAGACTAATGATATGATATGATATAAGTGAGTGAGTGAGTGAGTGAGAGAGAGAGAGAGAGAGAGAGAGAGCCAAGAGAGCATACAAATAGCTAAACAGTTATCCAAACGATATCTAAACTGTTAGATTGTATTTCAATACGAAATGCCAGTAATTGTATAAACGATTAGATTATTAACAGAAAATCAAATTTATATTAAAGCGTGAAATAAGTCACAAGTTTTCACGCGAAAAAAGTTTATCGACATATGATTAGCGAAAAATGCAGTCGAAGTCACTTTTGGGTGACTTTACTGTTATTATAAATGACTTTCAATTTACTTTTGATTCATTATATCAATGATGAGATGATTAAAAAAAATATTTACATAAATTCCTTAGCAATTAGTTTGCTATTCGTATCAATTAGCCTCTCTCTCTCTCTCTATGAAAATTTTAATAACAAAAATAACTTTTAAAAACTCGATCAGAAAAACACATAAAATACGAGTTTCTAAAAGGCTTTTAAAAATAATTAATTAAACATTTCGTACGACACATACGAATAGCATTGAAAACTATATGACTTGAAAACATACAGAAATCATAAGACATTCGCCCGATAGTCGACTCAAGAGAGAGAGAGAGAGATCAAGACCTTGATTTCAATTATAACACATCCATACCCTCCCGATCCCCTTCTCACTCGCTATCAACTATGGACTACAAACCTATAAATCATTATCATTAGTATATATTATGGGGAAAGGGATGTAGAGATAGACAAGAATATGAATTGTATATCTAAAAAGTCTTAAATTGTTTAAAACTTGTCTCTTAGGTTAGGTTAGGTTTGCATAGAGTTTTGCAATAATTTTTGAATTAATCAGCAAACTATTAACTGGCTAATTTAATTGAAAATTATATGCATTTAAAGGAAAAGTGGCTTAATATAATTAAAATGTGGAAATTTACTAAAAAAATATTTTCAAAACAAATAAATTTCACATCAAATTTAATGTTAAGATATAATTTGCATATAAATTGATGTTTAATTGTATTTGGTTTCCTACCACTACTAATATCAATGTCTAATTTATATTGTTTTCATAGAAAAATAATTTATATTTAAGGAAAATATTTAAAAGTAAAAAATAATTGCCTATATGTGTTTAATATAAAAAAGTATCAGTAAAAAATAAAATCATCTATACATAGACCAAGTATCTTAAAAATAAATTAAATATTGTTTTGTATTTTTAAAAATCTCAATTGAAAAGTATCACAAATCATGAAAAATAAAAGTATTTTTCACACTAAAAATACATTTTATGCTAAAAAAATCAAAACTATATAAAAAATGATTAATGTATTGATAGCGAGTGTACAAAAAAATAACATTAAAATCAATGAGAAATTATACGTAAATATAATATAAAAATAAAAGTTATGCACTTTTTTCATGTGATACCCAATGAATTGCACGAAAAATGTATGTTTTTTCGGAGTGAATCTCTCGATTAATCTCTATATTTATCGATAAAATAGTAGAAAAAGTTTTTATTTGATTAGCTATTTGTATGCTCTCTTGGCTCTCTCTCTCTCTCTCTCTCTCTCTCTCTCTATGAAAATAAATTTAATAACAAAAATAACTTTTAAAATCTCGATCAGAAAAACACATAAAATACGAGTTTCTAAAAGGCTTTTTAAAATAATTAATTAAACATTTCGTACGACACATACGAATAGCATTGAAAACTATATGACTTGAAAACATACAGAAATCATAAGACATTCGCCCGATAGTCGACTCAAGAGAGAGATCAAGACCTTGATTTCAATTATAACACATCCATACCCTCCCGATCCCCTTCTCACTCGCTATCAACTATGGACTACAAACCTATAAATCATTATCACTATAGTATATATTATTGGGAAAAGGGATGTACAGATAGACAAGAATATGGATTTTATATCTAAGTCTTAAATTGTCTAAAACTTGTCTCTTAGGTTAGGTTAGGTTTGCATAGTTTTGCAATAATTTTTTAATTAATCAGCAAACTATTAACAGGCTAATTTAATTGAAAATTACAATTTACGTGTAAAATTATATGCATTTAAAGGAAAGTGTCTTAATATAATTAAAATGTGGAAATTTACTTAAAAATATTTTCAAAACAAATAAATTTCACATCAAATTTAATGTTAATATATAATTTGCATATAAATTGATGTTTAATTTTATTTGGTTTCCTATTACTACTAATATCAATGTCTAATTTATATTGTTTTCATAGAAATATAATTTATATTTAAGGAAAATATTAAAAAGTAGAAAATAATTGCCTATTTGTGTTTCATATAAAAAAGTATCAGTAAAAAATAAAATCATCTAAACATAGACTAAATATCTTAAAAATAAATTAAATATTATTTTGTATTTTTAAAAATCTCAATTGAAAAGTATCACAAATCATGAAAAATAAAAGTATTTTTCACACTAAAAATACATTTAATACTAAAAAAATCAAAACTATATAAAAAATGATTAATGTATTGATAGCGAGTGTACAAAAAAAATTCTCATTAAAATCAATGAGAAATTATACGTAAATATAATATAAAAGTTATGCACTTTTTTCATGTGATACCCAATGAATTGCACGAAAAATGTATGTTTTTTCGGAGTGAATCTCTCGATTAATCTCTATATTTATCGATAAAATAGTAGAAAAAGTTTTTATTTGTTTATTTGTTTCGGTTTCTAATCAAATATATAGCAAAACAACACAAGTTTTATGTGTCAATGATTTTTAACGTCTCAATATAACTATGGCATCAAAATATGGGTTTTTGTGGTTATATAAAAAAGTATATCACAAAGTGGTTCACTCTCTCTCTCTCTCTCTCTCTCTCTGAAATAAAATTATATTTTTTTAAATCAAAACTTATGTTTGTATAAACTTTTGAAAACATGAAAACTCATTGAAATAATTTCAAAAAATATAAAAAGTCACATAAAAATAGCTCTATTTTAATACACATAAGACACGCATTGAATGAATAGTTTGTAAATAAAAGCCAAAATCAAATACATTTTGTGTATAAAATACTGTTTGCTATTATATTTGTCTATTGAATGGCAAAACACAGACTCTTTAATCATTTAATGAAATCAAGACTCAAGTGAATGAGAAAAATAATAATAAATTAATTTAAAGCCTATTCATAGGACTGGTATTGAAAATGACAAAAAAAAGCATTTAATATAATATAATCACAAAATTGAATACTTTTTTCGAAAGATTTAATTTCAAGCGACAGTCAAATCGAGATATAAGTTATTTTTACAGTCAAAACAGTATTCATCATAAATTACTAGCTAATCTATTAAATCAAAGCACAGGTATGTGTTTACTAAATTGAAACGGCACAACCCATTGGACACTAAAAGTATTGAAAAATATTTTTCAATTAAAATAACTTTTATATTTGATTACAAAAAACACCACAATTTCTATTCAATACCACAAAACAGTCTCTTAATTGTGTAGTGAATGCTATATATTCTCCATAATTGACATTAAAAATAGTGAATAATTATTGTGTACTTGATAATAATTAGCTGAGAATCAGGCAATGGGTTAACTATATCGGGGTTATGGGCTAATAGTGAACCCAATACTATTAATACGGTTTTAAGCGGTTTATGACACACAAACAGTACGGGTAGTCCACTAAACGCCTCAATAATTACATAATAATTACTTAACAACTCATCCAATGATTAGATTACATAATATTCACTGAGTTTTGTCTCGCATTCAATAAATGCCTATTAATTAGTATCACAACTAATGTATTAATCAATCACTTATCTAATGTTAACCAAAAAAATTATACAATTTTCTAAATAAACATAATTTACTTCGTAATCATAATCTCAATCAATAGCCACTCTATGAGCACATTATAAGACATAATGATTAACAAAATGAATTAAAAACTATTAATAAAAAGTATCAAATAATTTTAATTCAAAACTAACATTACACACCATTACTAACCTCCCGTTCCCCGAAAAAACTACATAAGAATTACACAAAAACCCTCATAAATAGCCACACATTTCTAGCACATAATCAACACCTCCCTAACCACCAGTCCTATAGCCAACACCTCTGGTGACGTGTATATACCCATTACCGTGACCTCCCGTTCCCAACACCCAATACCAAATGGCCAGACATTAAATAATACACAAAAACGCCACATTTACCCACACACTATCATCACACAAACATGCACACCTCCCCCTAAAACCCAAACCACCCGTTCCCCCGCACCGGGAATGTCTACTCACATCGTTCAGGAGCTTCTTCTGGAGCGAGTCGACCTGTATATGCGTGGGCACCGTCTGCAGCAAAATCATGGCCGACTCGACCAGCAATGGCCACGTACTCCGAAATATGATGCACACCAGACATAGGCTGAGCGCCGGGTCTACGTAGCGGCTGTACTCCCAGTCGGTGAACGCGATGATGGAGGCGCTGATGATGACGATGACGGAGCCGAGCGCGTCGGCCAACACATGGAGGAACACCCCGTGCATGTTCATCTGCCCGCCCTTACTCACTGTCCCGCCATTGGCCGAGGCTACCGGTGCTGCTGAGGTGACGGTCGCGGTGGGCGTTACGGTGGACGACGAGTCGGTGCTCGACCGCTCCTCGCGCGCCGGTATGTGGTTGTCGTTCACGTCGTCCTCCTCCTCGTCGTCGTCGACGTCCACGTCGTGCGCCGGCACGTGTTGGTGATGGTTGTGCTGGTGGTTGTGGTTAGCGCTACCGGAGCCGCCGCCCCCACCACCGCCTCCTCCTCCGTGACTGTGCCCGTGGCCGTGACCTACAGGTGCCGTACAAAAGCGGTAGAGTTTTCATTAGTCTATGCATTTAAGACACTATTAACATAACTATTAATTAAATTTATGTCTTTCTCTCACTCACTCTCTCACACAAACACATACCTGTCCACCGCTACCCTAATGTGTACCACAAACCTTAACCCATATACTAGTGCCCCAACACACGTATACCTGACCAGAGGGGTGGCCGTGTAGTCTAGTCTACATACGTACTAGTGGTCACTCAAACCTCATACTTAAAATCACCCGCTTTTCGGGATATACTCAACACACACTCCCATATCATTACTAACCTCCGGTTCCCCCGAAAAAAGACAAACTACCGGTAATTAAAAATCACAAAACCCTCATAAAATAGCCACACATTTCTCACACACATACCTAACCAACACCACCCTAACCATCACCAGTCCCTTAGCGCCGACACCACTGATACCTCTGGTATAACCACTACCCTAACCACCCGTTCCCTACACTCCATACCAATATCCCCCAGATTTTCCGGGCCATACCCGACACTCCCACACCCGCACACATACACACGTGGGAAGGGGGCGAACCGTACGTACCCTTAAACAGGACGAGCCCAATGAGGTTGACCACGAAGCCGACGACCCCCACGCACAGTATGAGCAGCGGCTGATGGATCTCCTCGGGGTCGTAGAACCGCTTCAGTGACTCGACGAGAATGGAGAAGCAGAGGGCGCACAGGAACACCGCGTTTATGAGTGCGCCCAACACCTCGGCCCGCGCCCACCCGAACGTATTCTTCGACCACTTGCGGGGCGACATCCGCACCGACACATACGCTATGACGAGTGCCACCACATCGGACAGCATGTGGAAGCTGTCGGCCACCAGAGCCATACTGTTCGTGATGTACCCCACGATGATCTCGATCAGGAAGAAGGTGGCCGTCAGTGACAGCATGAATAGGAGCCGACATTTGGCGCCTCCCAGCCCGTGACATAAGCCCATAGTGGCGGTGAGGGTGGAGGTGGGGATCCGTGTCCGGTGGGGGTTGAGAGGGGTGTTGACTATACTGACTTCACGGTATTAATGGTGAGAAAACTTGATACACAACTCGTTATTAAGGCATTGGTTTGACTTTTATGTAAACACACTGTGAGAGCGATGTAAACGTATTTGAAAACTACAGTAAACTGATCCAGGTGCTGTGATGCTATTACTGTGCACTTCTATATGTGTGCATATATTTTGTATACACTTCTCATAGACATTGCTCATAGACTGAGCGACAGCTGACTGACTGTATGGCACTGTCAGCCGTGTATCGCGAGTGTGAGCGCATGCGCGCCCACTCACTCATACAGTACTGTTCACATGTAGTCAAGCCTATGGGTCCGACATGTAGGCCCTTTTGTTGTAGTTATGGCATAGAGTGTTATATCAAAAGGTTTCGCTATATTTTGCGGTCGGTTTAAATCTAGTGCTCATAAATAATGTTGATTAATTAAATGCGATGATAAATAATGTTATTAAATAAACTTTATAAAATAAATTAGATTTTAATAAATATATATATTTAATATAACGAGATAAAAAGTTCAGCTATAATATTTATAAAGTTACATTTAGTTACATTTAAATTAAGTTAATATATATATACTTTAAGTACATTTATGTATTATATATAGCAATATTAAACATATAAATAGACTTTTGTTGCTTAATTATTAATTAATAATTAACAAACACATGTAATTACGATTAGTATTTTAAAGTTTTTAAATTTAAAAAACACACATTTCTCGCCACAAACTACAGTCAAATCTCCGTATTATTGGCGTTCAAAACGATTATACATTTAGTTTTGCCGAAATCGACGCTATTTCGCGGAATATTCACAGAATATTCTGCGATATCTGTGTTCGGCTGGTCGTCGGACCCCACCTCCAGGTCCTCCTCCTCCTCGATATAATCGGTCACATTGTTGGACATCAATGGCTGCGAATACTGCCGGCGCTCGCCGGGAGATACCTGTCCCATAGGGTTCGCATTGCACTTATGGGGCAACTCTACGGCCGGGCTGTTGTTGTGGTATATTTGGCTCATTTTATACTCCTTTTCCTCGTCCATACGCCTGTCCTCCTCATCCTCGTCACTCCTGTATGACTTCCCATTGATGGTGCACTCGTAGCTCCAGGCGCCCAGTATTGCGCCGATATGTGGCCCTAGTATTCCCGCCGTGAACCAGTACTGCCATTGTATCGGCCTATCGGATACGTATAGTTAATATAAGATTTGCTATTTATTATTAAGTAAATTAATTTGTGGGTTCACTCAATAAGTACGTACAGAAAAAAATTAATTTGTGTATGGGGTATAATTAATAGGGATATCTATTCTAGTATGCAGTACCTACTCAATAAAGTTTTAATTATTTTAATAAATCATCATTTTAATAAAATATCTAGTGATATGTATTTACCGGTAAAAAAATGTTTAAATTATCCTGTACATAATACTAATCAGGTTTCATATTAGATCTCTCTCTCTCTCTCTCTCTCTCTCTCTCTCTCTCTCTCTCTCTNATCATGAGTAGTGAGTCAACTATTTATCGAGAATTCTGTTGCCGACTACAGAATAGTCTCCATAGGAATAGCTATTAGCCATGTATTGCATCAGAATATTCTGTAGCATTTAGAGTGTCAGCTCTCTCTCTCTCTCTCTCTCTCTCTCTCTCTCTCTCTAATAAAATAAAACTATATTTACTTGAACGCATTAAACCCGTAACCGGCTAACATCTGAAACACCCTGGGTCCTAAATCTCTGGCAGGATTCAATATTGCGCCACAGTTGAGCCCAAACGCCACGCATATACCCGTAATAACCAGTGCAAAAACCGTAGGCTCCAGGTGTTTTGGCGTATTAATACCGCGTTGATCAGTGATAGCCATAATTGAAAACATGAGTAAAAATGTGGCCAATATTTGGTCCACGAGGGAACCGGTGGTCGACACGTGGGCGGCCGGGTATGTGGAGAATATGCCACCCGTGGCACCGGTAGTGTTTGCAAACTCCTTATAGGGGACTCGGATACCGGTGTCGTACGCGTTGATACCCTCATAATAGGCACAGAATACGGCAAATGCGGCCATAAATGAGCCAAAATATTGAGCCAGTAAGTAGTGGGGTATTTTGCGAGCAGGGAACTTTCTCAATGATGCCAGTGCTATTGTAACCGCCGGGTTAAGGTGAGCACCTAGGTATTTAGATTAAAGTTTTATTAGTTTAATTATGAGCCAATAGGGGACAGGCAAGTTATGGGTTTTACTTTAGTTTTTGTGTAGTTTTGCGTAAGTTTTAAATAAATAGTTAAGTTATGTGTGGAATGTACTGTATATTAATTTTATTGTGATTTTATAATTACTGTAGTTAGTGATTACCACAGCTTTAGATAAATATTTTTAAAAATTACTTAAGCAATACTTTTTTAAGCAATTACATTAATTTACGAGCAAACTATTTTGTACATGTATAAAATTACTAAAGTATATTTTCAAATATAAAATAAAAATTTATATATTTCAAACTGGTCTCGTTTAGTTATTTAACTTAATTTTTATAATAATAATTTTAGACATAGCTTTTACTAAGCTAATGTACAAGTAAATGAAAATTAGCACCAAGTTATAAAATTAAATAAGCAATCAACAATGAACCTGAGATCTTAGCCGATATAGAAATGCCAATAAGTACGCCAACTCCAAATGCAAAGCATACAGCAAAATGATCCACGCCAGTTTTATTATCCTTGTTAAGTACATAATTTGCTACGGCCGCATCACCTATACACTAAACATTGTATATTAAGAATTAAATTAATTATGGTAGTGTTTCAATCAGCAATAATCATAATAAACATTAATCTATGTGACAATTATTTACAGTGCTTGACCCTGATGACTATTTTTAATGGTGCGCTAGGTAATTTATTACTGGTCACACAATCGCGTCAAGTTAATAACATTAAATATAAATATAGTTCGTGCGATAATAACCATGAAGTTATAAATTCATGTGGTTTTATATATTGTGTTGAAAATTATTATGATAAATAAAAAGCAAAACAAATAATTTCATTAATTCTGACATTTCACGTCTCGACATGTGGTTAATAATCATCACACAAAAAACTATTATACATTTTGTCTCACATTTTATGACATTTTGTATAATAAATGATGACTTTTCACACAATTTAGTAAATAATCAATCAATTAATAGTTTCTGTTTAATAACCTGGACAATGTTCAACATATAAAATTAATTCTATTAATATTGACCGTAAATGTACAGGCACTTTGAAATGTACTAGTACATTAAGTGCAATCACGTTTGTTTTATGGAAAAAAATGTATTTATACAAATTAATGAAATATATTATTACGAAATTAAATATTGAAGAAATACGAAAATCAATACTTTTAATTAATATAACTATAAATGAATAGAAAATTTTGATAAATATACACGGTGAATTAAACGTACAATAATTTAGTGTATAAGTTATTTAATTCAAAATATAAGCAAAAATCTAACAAAGCAAAATAATTAAATTTTAATTAGCATACTTAAATATATTATATGTCAACACTTTTATTTTGTAAAAATATGTTCATTTCAGTAAGACACTTATTTAAAAATAAATAATAAAATAAATTACTCACCACAATGAAAAAAGTACCGAAAAACTCAGCAAAAAACTCTCTGATCCATGGGGGCCGGTGCCCACCTACCAGTCCACAGCTCTCGCTCCGTTGCATCGTTTTCTACATACAATTGAAAATCAATTCATAAAAATAAAATAAAAATAAAATAAAAATATCAATATTAGTAGAATATGTTTGTATCAAACATACAGAATATTCTTTAAGTCACTGCCGATAATAGAGTTACGAAAACTTTATGTAAACATAAGGTTTCAAAGAAAAACTACTTATCAGACGATTATTACAGCTAATGCTTAAACACTCAATAAATAGTGAGTTATTCACGGGTTTGCCACTGAAATACATGAGTTTTGTTGCCCAATATGATTGTACAGAATATTTGAAATTATATATAATATTAGACATAAATTACATGTGGATAGACATGTTTTTCATATACGGTTATTGGGATGTAATAATGCAATAATAGACGGCGATTGCGTACACTATATGTGTATTTTATATAAAATTGTATACATTATACAGACTATAATAGGTATTATTACATAAGTATGTTCAGGTTATCGATAAACCATATGGCATATGCAATATATCACTCACATAGAGTTTATTATTTAAATAAGAATATTCTGTAAACTTTTATCAACATACAAAGTTTTCATGATTCCCCTTAACTAATATGTTATACAATATGCAAAGTTATTTAAGATATAAGATATAATCACAGATAAGCCTGGTCAAAAGTTCCGGTATCCGTATCCCCTAGCCATGATATTCTGCATATCATGAGTAGTGAGTCAACTATTTATCGAGAATTCTGTTGCCGACTACAGAATAGTCTCCATAGGAATAGCTATTAGCCATGTATTGCATCAGAATATTCTGTAGCATTTAGAGTGTCAGCTCTCTCTCTCTCTCTCTCTCTCTCTCTCTCTCTCTCTCGACGATAGCAATTCTGATGTCAAACGCCTTTCCCATTACAACAGATAGAGAGTACTATAGACTTGAATAACGATTTTGAAGTGCATTTTCTCAGGCATTTAGTTATTTTTAGACCGCCTTTCCATTTGATGTGTAAATAAATATATTAATCCGAAAAACTCGAAACCATTTGTATAGACATTATGAGTGCATTGTATTGAGTGGTACACTATTTGTCTAATCAAAAGGTTTATTGTACACTAAATGTATTGAATAGTTATTTATTGTATGCATCCCTGCGCTCGACATATCATTTTTCACATGTTATACCCCATGACTGGAGTAATATATAATACAAAAGCAACTACAGTACTGTATAATAAACATTCATTTGTATGATAAGAATATTCTGATTATAATAATAAAGATTATCGAGAAAGACATTATAGAAAATGGTGTATAACTTACAAAATATTTAACAGAATATTCTTGGTCATACGGATAGTATCAAATACTACTGGTTATTATTGCAAACATAAAATTAAATAATTGTTATAAGAATTTAAAATTTATATATTAAAATAATATTAAAACTACTTTTTGAAATTATAATAAAGATTCAATACAAATGCAACAAAAATATTTCCAAATATAAAACTAATAATATTTTTTGTATTTATTTTATTGTCAAATGTTAGAAATGCTGTATTAATAGGCAGGCGCTGTGAGAGCTCACGTATGCCAACGTATAGTATGTACAGAATATACAGAATATATTATCGATCGCTTACACAGAATAAGTTAACTTTATTTATGGTGCCTGTGCTGACTCGTGAGCCATACCGGGCCCGGCCTGGTATGTGCATAAATGCATGCTAGCGGCATGTATATGTACTTTTTCCAGGGTAATTATTTGCATTTGGCTTTCATAATTAATTATGGCTAAACGTCTCGGATGACAATAATTAATGCCAGGCTATGCATATTGTTATTGAATTTATAGTTTATTAAAAGATTGTAATAAAACACTAGTCTTTCTCTATTGATCGGAAATTTTGAATTACATTTAACTTTTATATACGATATAAAACTAATGCATATAATTGTATACTTTAATTATGTAATAATAGTAGAAACTATTATTCCTCAGAGAGAGAGAGAGAGAGAGAGAGAGAGAGCTGACACTCTAAATGCTACAGAATATTCTGATGCAATACATGGCTAATAGCTATTCCTGTGGAGACTATTCTGTAGT